CAGCAAAGTGGGAGAGGCCGTGGGTTACCTCCTGTTCCTCAGCAACAACAGCAACAGCAGCAACAACAGCAACAGCAGACTCCTCCTCCCCTTCCGCAGACAGTGGAAGCCGCGGAGTGGAATCCTCGAGCCACTGATCACATGAACCGAGTGATCAGGGTCGACGACTCCATTTTGCAGGACCCTCATGTCGCCAATGCAGTGAGTGAGACGCTGCATTTCGAGGCCAACATGGTGGCTCATAGGGGGCGATCAACGAACGTGTTGTTTCGCTCTATCATCTAGCATTCCCTGGTGGTAAGTTCATCTTTGCTTCAGTCTCTTTTAGCCGTTTTTCCTTTTAGTGACATGCCCTTTCATTTGCAGGCCACCTAACAGATTTCCGTAATAGCGGCGCAGTATCATGGGGCTAGGATGGACCTTCAGCGGATTCGAGAGCAGAAGGAAGAAGCCGAGGGAGCCCTTGTCAGTGCTAAGAAGGACGTAGCTCCAAGGGATTCCACCCTCGCAGGGCAGGCTGCTCAAATCGAGCAACTCCTCAAGGATGCCGAGTTGGCGAAGGTCGGCGCTGAAAAGCTAAATGCTGCCCTTGCCGAAGCTGAGAGGAGGATAATAGAACAGACGCAACGACTCTCTGCGGCAGAGGAGAAGGCTGTTGGTTCAAAGGAAAGCTGTCTGGCTCTGACCCAGGAGCTGGACAGGATCAGGGCTGAGGCACAGAACAGCAACTCCGAGAAGAGTTCGCCGATGACGTGCTCCCCGCTCTTGAGGAAAACAGCAAGGAGTTCTTCAAGAAGGGGTGGGACGAGGGGCTCCAGTCTGCTGGGATCCCGTCAGACTCCCCGCTCTTTCAGATGCACAAATACGTGCCTTTGGCGGAGATGGAACAGGCCGAAGCCGAGATTGCTGCCGAGGGCGCGAATCCAACGCCGGTGCAAGTTTCGGTTGATCCGCCCGAGCCGATAATCGTGGATTTGTCTGAAGAGGCCCTGCCGGACCGGGCTCCTGACCATAATATTCCTCAGGCTCTCTCTGTTGCCGAAGTACCTTCCACTCTGCTTGCTCCTGAAGATGCTCAACCTTTCTTCGCTGATTCTCCCTCGAGCGATGTTTTGGAGATGCCTGNCACCGGTGCAAGTTTCGGTTGATCTGCCCGAGCCGATAATCGTGGATTTGTCTGAAGAGGCCCTGCCGGACCGGGCTCCTGACCATAATATTCCTCAGGCTCTCTCTGTTGCCGAAGTACCTTCCACTCTGCTTGCTCCTGAAGATGCTCAACCTTTCTTCGCTGATTCTCCCTCGAGCGATGTTTTGGAGATGCCTGGGGCCAGATGAAAGCCCCTTATATTTTTTTTTTTTTTCTTATAGCTCTTGGGGACGCAAAGCCCCTCTTTTTGAATTAAAGCTTTTTTGGAGTACTTAATTCTTTCTTGCGTACACTTTTGTAGGAATCCTTGAACTGTCCTCAGGGCCTTGCTCATCCAAGANTCTTATAGCTCTTGGGAACGCAAAGCCCCTCTTTTTGAATTAAAGCTTTTTTGGAGTACTTAATTCTTTCTTGNTTTTCTTATAGCTCTTGGGGACGCAAAGCCCCTCTTTTTGAATTAAAGCTTTTTTGGAGTACTTAATTCTTTCTTGCGTACACTTTTGTAGGAATCCTTNAAGCTGAGAGGAGGATAATAGAACAGACGCAACGACTCTCTGCGGCAGAGGAGAAGGCTGTTAGTTCAAAGGAAAGCTGTCTGGCTCTGACCCAGGAGCTGGACAGGATCAGGGCTGAGGCACAGAACAGCAACTCCGAGAAGAGTTCGCCGATGACGTGCTCCCCGCTCTTGAGGAAAACAGCAAGGAGTTCTTCAAGAAGGGGTGGGACGAGGGGCTCCAGTCTGCTGGGATCCCGTCAGACTCCCCGCTCTTTCAGATGCACAAATACGTGCCTTTGGCGGAGATGGAACAGGCCGAAGCCGAGATTGCTGCCGAGGGCGCGAATCCAACACCGGTGCAAGTTTCGGTTGATCTGCCCGAGCCGATAATCGTGGATTTGTCTGAAGAGGC